AGGTAGATATCCAGGTAGATATCCTGGTAGATATCCAGGTAGATATCCAGGTAGATATCCTGGTGGCGTAATGCTCATAACGAAGACTGGAGTTCTTATGCCTCCTCTGCCACTTTGTATCTTTCAGCTGTGTTCCACTAGTTTCCATATCGTTCCACTGTATGTAGTTCCATGGTGTTCCACTGTGTACCGTTCCACAGCATTCCGTTCCATTTTATGGCGCTCCGCGTGTGGGGACTACCGTACCGAACCATTCCATGGCTGTAAGAACCGTTATTTAGCTTTTCTGTATATGCCGATAGCTTACCGTACCGTTCCATAGCGTACCCTTGACGTACCATTCCATAGCGTACCCTTGACGTACCATTCCATAGCGTACCCTTGACGTACCATTCCATAGCGTACCCTTGACGTACCATTCCATAGCGTACCCTTGACGTACCATTCCATAGCGTACCGTAGTGAGGGGCAGGAGGTGGCAGAGGGGTGGAGGTACCGATGAGAGGGAGTCGATCAGCGTCTCTACCCTTACCAGGGCGACCCGTCCTGAGTGTGAGTGCCTGAGTCAGCTAGAGTACCGGGGCGCCCGGTACTACTCCTGTCTCGTGAGCACTAGCTGAGGAAGATTGTCCTCTGCGGGTATATTTCTGTTCATTAAAAAGGTACATGTTAACATCCCCCCCCCTCACACACCTTATGTGATCATATTGACAGCTATTAACCAACTTTATATATATATAACCCTGGCTGTCTGGGTTCGAATCCTTCAGGGGTGAGGAGTTTTCTGATATATATCGTCATTCTACTTTGCTCTGATGAAGGCGATGTAGCCGAAAACGCGTTAAGCATTTTCTATTTTTCACGTGTGGTTTTTTCCGCATACTTGTGATCGGTGTTTTTTTTATCATTGATGCATATATATAATTATTACCACAACCTTTATCGCCTTGATATTACTTAAATTGTACTGGTGTGATTACATTGATTTAATTATATATCTAAATCACCTTGAAGAAACTATTTTGACTTAATCAGCTTGGGCTAAAGACCTCTGAGCCTGTCCTCTTGGCTAAATTTCCATGAGCTAATTACCCCGCCTTGGTCTAATCACCCCCGCGACGGACAGGGTGTGTAAATCGCCTTCTGTTGAACCTAATTACTCAGGTACCAAGGAGGCCGCTCGTCCGTGGTAGTGGGAGGGTGAAACTGATGGGAGATGGAAGGGTAGGAAGGGAGAGGGGGAGGGAGAAAGAAAGAGAGAGAGAGAGAGAGAGAGAGAGAGAGAGACTACATGGAACACAAGGTACCCTTCATCTCACATGCCTCTTCCTCTCTCACCAACACCTCACCTCTCCCTCTCCCATCAACTGTCTCATCATTCCTCTCGTCTCTCCCACATGCTGCCACATTACCCTCGTCGCCCTCGGCAGCCTTTTACAAAAGCCTGACAAAATTATAGCGAGTCAGTTGAAAGTTTTCCTTTTTTCATCAACAACACTACCTTCTCCCTCCCCCTCCCCTCCCTCCCCCTTCCGGCAACCATGATCATCCCCCCCCCCACCCTTCCCCTCTCTCTCCTCGGCATCACCCCCCCCTCACCAACTCTTTCTACCTACCCCCCCCTCCCCCAGGACCCATCCCCTCATAACCCCCTCCCCTTCACCTGTCTCTTTACGCATGCGACTCCTCACCTCATTAAGGGGACAGGCAGGTGGACCTTTGATCTCAGGTGAAAGGAAGAACACCTACGAGAAATATCAGATACCGGAAGGGGGCGTAGTGAAGACATTGTGTGGGTGTGGAAGGATGTGGAGAAGGTGGAGATAAATATAAGTTGAGTGCGGCCCTTCACTGACAGAGAAGTCTCGCTGAGGACGTATTCGCTGAGAGAGAGATCAATCAAGTGACTCCTGTTTGACTTCTTAATTTCTTGTGATATCATCTTAAGAAACTATGGATGGAGGACTTACTGTCCTGGCCTTGAAATGTTTCCTCACTTCTACATGTCAACCTAAACATTGTCTCGATTTTTCACTCATGGCTATTTTGTATGACTGGATTATGTCCCCTCTATTTCTCCATTCTTCAAATGTCATTATGTTCAGTTACGATTATCACTGTATATTAATCCCCTCAATTATAGGACTGATTTTCTACTAAACCGCTTTACCTTCTCTAAGGTGCTCAGTGTTCTAGTAATGAACGGAGACAAGCTGAGTGGAGCACTTGGGAAGCATCTTTGTCTTAAGTTGGTGAGGGTTGTCCCGCCGCTCGCCAGCTTGGCCTATACCGCTCATGTGTTTCTGCGTGAATCTGGAGATAGGAAGGATCGGGGTTACATCCTTCCTAGATCACCTGTTCTGCCTGCCATGGCAGTCCTCCTATATACTTCCTCTGGCGTTCCTGTGTAAGTCCCATAACCTCATGACCTTGCACACATTTACATGTAGTCCTGTAACCCTTTGCAGGACCACGCCTGTGACATCTCTGCTCCATAAACAACACATAGAGCCAACATGAGAAAATAAGAGTTGGTGTTAACTAACAAGGAAACACTGATAAATAACATCGAAATAAGGAGTGAACTGGGAACAGCGATCACGAGGAAATCATATTTTAACAGCCTGGAAAAGTTGTGCTACAGGGCTACTGTCCAGCTTGTCTTGATTCTCATCGAATTGTAACATTAACGGATAATGAGACAGAGATCTTCAGCAATGTAGCTTACGAAGATGATACGCCAGGAACAGCAAGGGTAATAGCGCTGGTCCTTGTGGGACTCCACAAGTGATAGTCCTCTTTATGGTAGCTGCTTGCTGGAGGTGTCTTCCAGGCCCCGCTGCTCTCACCACTCTTGCTGCCTGTTTCAGGCGTCCTCCAACCTACTGCTGTTTGCCTCACCACTCTTGCTGCCTGTTTCAGGCGTCCTCCAACCTACTGCTGTTTGCCTCACCACTCTTGCTGCCTGTTTCAGGCGTCCTTCAACCTACTGCTGTTTGCCTTAGCATCTCATAACTTTATTATCATCTTCAACCAGTTACACGAAGGCGACTACTGTGACTGGTGGATGGCTGAGAAGCGGACCCATTATTGAGTCCTGTGAGCCACCACCCATCACCTTCCCTGCATCACGGTGCTGCCTCTTAAGTCACTCCTTCACAATATGTGTACCTGCATGGAACGTAAGACCTGGCCTGTGACACAAGCTTGGTTCATCTTTAACAGCAGTCTTTCTTTGTGGTGTGTGTGTGTGTGTGTGTGTGTGTGTGTGTGTGTGTGTGTGTGTGTGTGTGTGTGTGTGTGTGTGTGTGTGTGTGTATTAGTACGCTTAGATGTGTTCTCTGAGTCGAGCAAGTGTATAGGTGTATGTTTGTTCTCTTAATTATATTTGCGGATACAGAGTTCCTTCTCCTGGGCCCCGACTTTTAGACATGAGTCGCCTGTGATTGTCGACCTTGGCGTGTACCCCCTCACCAACTCTCTTCTTGTACTCCTCTGCATATATCTGTACATTTGCTAAGCTCATTGAATAGATCAAAACAGCCAGAAACAGCGTCTCTCTCTCTCTCTCTCTCTCTCTCTCTCTCTCTCTCTCTCTCTCTCTCTCTCTCTCTCTCTCTCTCTCTCTCTCTCTCTCTCTCTCTCTCTCTCCCTCTCCCCCCCGCGTCCCATCTCCCCCCCCTACACACACTCTGACCACCTCATGACTACTAAGGGACTCCCAGGGCAGTTCAGGGTTAACGACCCTTAACGAACAACCTCCGTCTTGCCTAGACGTTACGCTCAGTCTTAAGACCCCCCCCCCGCCCTCTGTTGTAGACAACAACATGCACATGCAGTGTGTGTGTAACACACACACACACACACACACACACACACACACACACACACACACACACACACACACACACACACATACATACACATACACACACACACACATACACACACACACACACACACACACACACACACACACACACACACATACACACACACACACACACACACACACACACACACACACACACACACACACACACACACACACACACACACACACACACACACCACACACACACACACACACCCACACACACACACACACACACACACACACACACACACACACACACACACACACACACACACACACACACACACACACACACACACACACACACACACACACCCACACACACACACACACACCCACACACACACACACACACACACACACACACACACCCACACACACACACACACTGTTACACTGGGTTGGGTAGTGTTAATATGGGTTGTGTTAGTAAGGGTGATCTGGGTACACTAATGAGTCAATATTTCCAGACAATTATCCGGAAGTTGTGTGTTTTTTTCAGACATGAAGCAGACATTCCCCGTGGCGTAGTGGTAAGACGCTCGCCTGGCGTTTCATGAGCGCTTTGGCCTGGGTTCGTATCCTGGCCGGGGGGAAAGATTTGCTGGGCGCAAATCCTTAACTGTAGCCTGTGTTTATCCCAACAGTAAATTGGGTACCTGGTTGTTAAACGATTTGGCGGGTCGTATTCTGGGGGACACAGGATTGAGGACTTAATCCTTAATCCTTAATTGAGGACTTAATCCCGAAACGCTACGCGTGCTAGTGGCTGTACGAGAATTAAGACCGGAAATAATTGTATTTAAGATGGTCGATATATTAATATTGTTCTCATTTGTCTTTTGCCAGATTGTTAGGTAAACATTGACCTGATAGACGGCGAGAGCGTCTTCATGTATTACCCAGCCAGTTGTCGCGTCCTGCAGGTCCGAGTTCGATCCCCAACGGACCTCCCATCGTCCTATCTCAGATCCTTGTTCTCACATCCCTTCTTTATACTGGCTGAGCGGTCTCTACCTTGTTTCATGCATTATACCTTATACGTACAGGAACCGGTTCTTCCTGGTTCACGTGACGTTCAGTAGACAGCAATAGTAAGAGCAACTGGTCCTTCACCCAACAGATGGCGCCACCGTGTACGGCCTCCCGCGACAGCTGGACTACGACACACACTTGCAGGACCCCGTTCAAGAAGGTAAGACAAGTCTCCTTACCCTCACCTGCCTGCCTCCCCAACCACATGGGCTGGACGGTAGAGCGACGGTCTCGCTGCATGCAAGTCGGCGTTCAGTCCCCGACCGTCCAAGTTGTTGGGCACCATTCCTTCCCCCCCCCCCCTACCGTTCCATCCCAAATCTTTATCCTGACGCCTTCCCAGTGCTATATAGTCGTAATGGCTTGACGCTTTCCCCTGAAAATTCCCTCAACTGCCTTCCCTGTTACATTTCTTATCAGCAGAAAATATTAATGCGGAATTATAATTATTAATATTTTCTCCTTCCCATTTCTCCCTCATATAGTTTCTATACTTCTGGCTATCTGTTCCTCCCCTTCCCAGTCCTTCCCACTCAAGCATGTATTTATGCAGGCGATGAGTCACAATAAAGTGGCTGAAGTATGTTGACCAGACCACACACTAGAAGGTGAAGGGACGACGACGTTTCGGTCCGTCCTGGACCATTCTCAAGTCGACGATATGTATTTATATTGTCTGTGATTAGCGCTGTATAGACATGTGGTAATTGGCCGCCTGAACATTGACCACAAGTTGAGCCTGTTAACTATGCTTAGAGAGCCAGGTATGCTGCACCCAGCCAAGCACAGTGCCACCATCCTCAAGCTCTCAGCGCCCAGTCAAGCACAGTGTCACCATCCTCAAGCTCTCAGCACCCAGCCAAGCACAGTGCGAGCCTCATATTACTGGCTGAGTAACCATTAACTACGCCCCCCCCCCGCCTGCAACACACTTTACATAAGTGTGTGTGTGTGGGGGGGGGGGGACTGAGACACTCCCAGCTGGGCTGGATTACACGCCAGGGAATGTGAACACCTCTTATGACGTTAGTGAACTGAAGCTATGAGAGGCTGGTAGAGATGTGTGGTTCCAGAACCCGGCTTGGTAGGCAGGGAAAATGAATCCAGAATCCGGCTGGGGAGGCGTCTTATCTAACACAATAGCACCATTAGAAAATACTTTAGACAGTAGTTGGGATCGAACTCGCGGTTCTGTACCTCCAGTAAACACACACACTAGCGACTATACCACGATGGCCTTAAAAGTACAGTATCTCAACCATACAAAAGTTCTGTTAGACTTAGGTATGGTGCTTTCCAAATTCCAAGACAATACACCACCACAACTTACATCATAATGAACTCCAGTATCACCAGCAGATGCATCATGGTTACCACCTGCAGCATTTGAAACCATCTCCGGTTGAGTATGTCACATATGCACTTATTAATAAGCCAATATTGACTATAAGCAAGTGCGAGAACGGGTTGCCATTAGTATCACCTTCTACAATATCATCTCTGTTGTAAGCTTCACCGGTATCATCCCAGTCCACCTTCAGTTACACCAAAAGACGCGAGTATATTCATATCGAATTACACTATCTACAACAAGATCACCACCAACACCTTCACCAGCTTCCCGCCCGCAGAGTAATTGAACAGGTGAGATTTGTTAATATGGCCTTCGTCCGCTAGCCGGGTCATAACGTACTCCCAGGAGCGGGTGTCGGCGCGTAAGGTGCTGCGAGGCATGGTAGACTGACCTCCTTCCCTCTTTTATTTCACCCCCTCCCTCCAGACGTTAGTCTCTCCGGCGGGCTCCTTCAGGCTCCTCTTGTGTTGCAGGCGCCGCCATGTGGGACGGAACAGGCGCGAGGGAAGGTGGGAACAGCATTTTCAGCAGCAACAGCGTGCCCAGCGATAGCATTAGCAGCAGCAGTACCAGCATCAGGGACCTGGGAAGGCCCCCCCAATCCTACATACCTGGGAGATATACCCTTCTCTCCCCCGAGGAAAGTTTTTTACGAGAACTCCTCCTGCACTCCGCCGCCCCCAACACCCGACCAATCACAGGCCAGAAGTTTGGTGACGTCACCAGCCTCGCCTTTCCCGAAGAACTGGATCGGATGGAGTTAAGGCGAGTTTGTGTTTCATTTTGTTATTGCTGTCGTGTGTAGGACAAGTTCGTAACGTGTAGCAAGTATAAGTGCTAGTAGGTGGCTTGTTTGAATATTTGCCGGTGGCTTGGATGTTTGTAGGCAGCTTGGATAAGTATTTGTACGTGGCTTTCATCAGTGCTTGTAATTGGCTTGGATGAGTGTTTGCAGCTGATTTGGATGAGTGCTTGTAAGTGGCTTTGACGAATGCTTATTAAGGAGCGTGGATGAGTGATTTTAAGTGGCTTGGATGAGTGCGTGTAGGTGGTTTGGACGAGTGTTTGCAGATTGGTTGGATGAGTGCTTGTAAGTGACTGATGAATGCTTGTCAAGGGGCTTGAATAAGTGTTTGTATGGATGTTTGTTTCTCAGCTGTAGGTGGCTTCGATATGTGCTTATCAGTAGCCCGGATGGTCTCTGGTTGTGGCTTGGATGGTCTCTGGTTGTGGCTTGGATAGTCTCTGGTTGTGGCTTGGATGGTCTCTGGTTGTGGCTTGGATGGTCTCTGGTTGTAGCTTGGATAGTCACTGGTTGTGGCTTGGATGGTCTCTGGTTGTGGCTTGGATAGTCTCTGGTTGTGGCTTGGATAGTCTCTGGTTGTGGCTTGGATGGTCTCTGGTTGTAGCTTGGATAGTCTCTGGTTGTGGCTTGGATGGTCTCTGGTTGTGGCTTGGATAGTCTCTGGTTGTGGCTTGGATAGTCTCTGGTTGTGGCTTGGATAGTCTCTGGTTGTGGCTTGGATGGTCTCTGGTTGTAGCTTGGATAGTCTCTGGTTGTGGCTTGGATGGTCTCTGGTTGTGGCTTGGATAGTCTCTGGTTGTGGCCTGGATGGTCTCTGGTTGTGGCTTGGATAGTCTCTGGTTGTGGCTTTTATGGTCTCTGGTTGTGGCTTGGATGGTCTCTGGTCGTGGCTCGGGTGGTCTCTGGTCGTGGCTCGGATTGGGTGCCTGGGACAAAAACGGATTTTTTGGTGTGGCTAGGATGGCTGGGTGTGGCTAGGATGGCTGGGTGTGGCTAGGATGGCTGGGTGTGGCTAGGATGGCTGGGTGTGGCTAGGATGGCTGGGTGTGGCTAGGATGGCTGGGTGTGGCTAGGATGGCTGGGTGTGGCTAGGATGGCTGGGTGTGACAAGGATGCATCTCTGGTTGTGGCTAGTATGATTGCTGGGTGACATAAGGATGGATACCCGAGTGTGGCTAGGATGGGTTCATTTATCCAACAAAAGCACTCCTGCCCTCATATATCATCAATACAATAAACAAGGTTATTTTACTGGTGAATAAAGAAAACAACTAAAATGGGCCTTTCCTTTATTGCAACAGAGAGAATGTTTCATGCATGGCTACACTTTACTTAATATGTACCATATGCAATACCCCTGTACTAGGAAGGCTAATTCTAAAACAACTTGACACACCCCCCAAGGATCTATGAGATGTCGAGTATAAAAATATATAACGTATTTTCCCCTCTCTCGTCTCTTACCTGGGAAAAGATTATTCTCTCAGATCACCAGGTCTTCTGACCCTTAAATTGCTGCCAGTGTGGTAGGATGTGAGTACCAGGGTGTGGTTAGTGCCAGACAGTGTAGCGTTAGCGTAATGCCTTCTCTGAAACACTTACAGCTTCTGGTAACTCTTATGCTCATACTATTTTTGGCTGTGACCAAATTTGTAGCGATGTTCCCTCTAACCCTTAAGCTGGCATACCTTCTATTTGCTTTTGCATTTCTGGATCCCTTATTAAAGTTGCTTTTATTCACAAATTATAAATCGAAGATGGCCTTTCCATGGCAAACTTGTTTGTATAGAAGTCTAGCAACTTTCTAAAATTATTCTCATTTCATGACAAATTATGTAAGGTTCTATTTTGGGATCTTTGTTCATAATTTAGCGAAGATAATGAACTCAATAGCCGCCGACAGGTGAATTGCGACATATTGACTACAATTAGTAAGTACCCCAGGAAGTGTATATAATGATGTGAGGGCGGCCTCTTTTGTTGACTAGCCGAAGGCTGTCAATATTCCTTACCCAAGGAGTGTGTTAGCGTCACCTTGCCTCTTATGCAGTAGTTACCCACCAGGAGCCCACCTCCCACCCTGGCTATGGGCACAAGCCCCCTTGGGCTCTGTATATGAGCCAGAGGGTGGGGCCTCTAACTAGCACCCAGAACCAAGGGAAAAAGAGGAAGCCCCCTGGCTCATGGTCAGAGCCAGAAGGGGCCTCTGGCTCATGGCCAGAGCCAGAAAGGCCTCTGGCTTGTGGCCAGAGCCAAGGGGGGTCTCTGGCTCATGACCAGAGCAAGGGCCACTCTGGCTTGTGGCTAGAGCCAAGGGACAACCATAGCCAGGAGGCTTCGAGCACAAGCTAGAGGGCCCTCTGGCTCTAGGCATGAGCCAGAGGTCTCCCTGTCTTTAGAGACACCATAAACTAGTCTTTTTAAGATGGAAATTTCATTTCATTTGTGAAAATTAGGCAGAAGCTATAGATAATGTTAAAATACATGAAACATAGTGCTATGCATGACTTATTTCATTATAAAATGAGCTCATTTCTAAGTCGTATACAGTATCTATAAATACTGTAATAAATTCTACTATTTATACAAACATTTGGATTAGCTTCAAATGTATCAGCCTTTACACAAATAAATGACATTAACTTGTCATTAAAATTGTAATTTAAATAAATTAATTTCTTAGACAATGCATAATATTCCTGTCCATAAGGCTTCTTGGAGAGACATATAATGCACAAAAATATTATTTTACATACTCATGGAGCTGTAAGTCAGGAATTTCAATATTACGCCCAAGTGACATCAATTTTATTGCTTATGCACATTATCTCTGTGAAGTTATCCAAATTACAGTAGATATTAAGTGTGAATTTTCATTATAATGATTGTGAAATACTGTACAAGTCAGGCCCTGGGGTGGTCGCATAATCAAGGTTCAAAAGCTGACAATTACAATGAACAAGGGACACATTTTCATTTGTTTCTCAGCTTGACATTAGTGTAGGAGCAGTCAGCCATCTGTCACTATTGTTCTTTGGAGCAAGTCTTTACCAACCTGGAAAATGTGTACTGTATAGATACTGTATATTCTAAAGATAAAATACAGTATTAATATTACAGGTTAATATTTTTACTATACTATAACTGTATTATTATTATTATTATAATGGCAACACTATACTAGCCAGTGGAAACATAGCACCTGTCATTCACCACTGACTAGCAGTGGTTCAGTGCTGCTAGAGCTCGCTGGAGCGCTGCTCTGGCACTTCTGGAAGTTGATGATGGAATGAGGTAAAAAGGTATAGAGGATGAGAGGAAAGGGAGATGATGACTTGTGGTTGATGGTTGATAGTGGCAAGAAAATATTAGTATTACATCACTAATAAGTTTTATTTGGACTGTGGCTGGCACAGCTAGCTTTACTTCAATGCAGCAGCCAATGTTTCTCTCTGCCAGTTTGTTGCGTCTTTGGGGGGTGGTATTTTAATTTTCTTTTCATTCTCTTGTTTAGACAGGGGTCTGCTTAGCTTCTTACTAGGCAAGCCTAGGTTGTGTTGGTAGTCTTCCTCCGTTGGCCCCCGAGGTTTCATAGCAGCTACTGGTGGTCAGTTTGCCTGCTACCTGACAGGGTTCTAATGATTTAGCTGGCTCCAGTGCCTCTCTGAGTGGGGTGGGGGGGCCAGGTTCTGGCTTGTGGTCCTCAGTAGGCATAAAAACTCCTGTAATTGATGACCCCAAATGAATACAGTACATAACAGTTTAGATAGCTTCAAGGAGGCTCTGGGGCTCACCCAGAAAATGGTGTTTCATTACATTCAACACTGGGTTTTTAATGTTGAGAGAATGTCATGAACATTGTTTTCACCATTGTTTGCCAAAGTAATTCACCTACTTATATAATTTATCTTTATTAAAATATATAGTAAACTTTTGTGTACTATTCCTCATCGTGCAGGCTTCCATCGCTCGACCTTGCCAGACTGAACGTGTGGGCACAGCAACAGCAGCAACACCATCAGCTCTACAGCAAGCCAAAACGTGTGTCACCGCCAGAGCAGTTGCACCAGAAACAGCGATCCTTGTCTGTGGTTGGACTCAAAGTAGCAGAGAAGAAATGGTGGGGAGGAGGACATCATAGGCGAGGGGAGATAGCCCGTAGTAAGTAGCCCAGTTAATGAGTAGCTATGTAGCTGGGTTGTGGGTGGAGATAGCCTATAGTAACCACAAATAAGACTTGCTATGTCTTTTGACAACTATGAGGCCCCATAGAAGGTACATTTTATTCTTATGCCTTGTACTTGTATACAATCCTTACCATATTTTCCGCACTTCATTGAGTGAGAATGTACAGTATTAGCAACACGATAAAAAGGTGAGCAACACGAGCAAAAATGTTTTAAAATATCACTCGTCCATTAATTATATCATCCACAATGAAATATATAGCATCAAAGATAAACAAGCACTACCACATTCCAGTAGTTTTCCAGAGCATTACTCCACCACTTCATGAGACCGGGTGTACAGTGCTCTTGATGAATTATTACATGCATTTACCCACACCTTTCAAACCACTTCCACCCATTCTTCTTCCTTATATCCCATGTGTTGTCCACACTCACTCCCCCGCTTCCTCTCACTCCTCGTGTCCTCCCACATCTTTTTCTTCCTCTCTTACTCACAAATTTACTAGAATACTGTACTCTCTCTTTACCAGTCTACGATTGTCATCAGTTCAACATGCCCAAACTATCTTGGGATGTTATCAAACTTGTGGTTTATTGACTTATACATTTCATATTTCTGACATTTTTATTTCTTTTTCTACATTTCTAACAATACACACACACATGCTTCTCAGATTGTTCAGTAATACTACTTCAACTCGTATTTTTTTATATTAATGGCACACCACTATCTTATATCCATACATGAGGCTTGACTTTTCAAATTTGTTTATAATTCTTGCTCACCATATTTTTTATTTGTACACAGTGGTACAATCACTGTTTCTTTGCAATCCTCTGGCACATTACCATTAGTCTGTGCCTTTTGACAAGCTAAGCAAGAATAGCACCCACCCCCATTCCTTTTCTCCACACATTAAATAATTTCACTATATACCTCACCAACATCTGCCAATTTCCTGCATTTCTGTCTCTTCACTGACATACAGTACTTGCCTCTTCCATAACTGTATGGGCTGCCATACAATCTTGTATTCTTCTCTCACCGTAAAATCCAATCATATTTACATTACCACCGTCTTCATCACTTCAACCCTTTAGACTTTAAAAGGATTCTTAACACCTACTTCTAATCTCTTCACCATTTAACATTTTCTCATTTCTATCATTATCATTCCCATTTACCTATCTATAAGTCTCTCCTACACTTCCTTCTTTCCAAAAGAACTTCTCGTTTTCCAAATAATTTTCATTTATTATTCGTCCTCTCACCTCATTTGCTCCAATTTTCCTGCTTACCTAGTCTTCTCACATACATTTTACTCTTCTTATACTCCTGTTTCTAGTGTTTCTCTCTCTCCTTTAAAGTACTTTTATCCATGGAATCCACTTCTTTTCATATACATTGCTCTTGCCACAGTGTAATTAATTTCAGTCATCACACTGTGCATTTGCAGTAATGGGGAGGGGGATAAATAAAAAACTGAATAAAATGGATGGAGGGAGTAGTAGTAGTGAAGTTAGAGGGGCCAGAGAGGGTGAGAGGGGGGGGGGGGACAGAAACGGATAACAAGATATTTAAGAAAACGGGGAAAGCTGAGAAAGAATCAGGGATGAAATGAGAGAATTAATAGGAGACAAGAGCCACCATCCACTTAAATATCTTTTTAGGCGAGAAATGTACATCAGTTTTTTAACAGTTTTTAAAACATTTATATATGAATAACAAGAAATGTTGACAAATCTATTGGCTATGTTTGTCTGCCCTTCCTGCTACAGTACATCCATCTATGTGCACGAAGAGAGGCTTCTGTATGCCCATCTAATTGCCTGTGAGGTTTATAAAGTGTCTTCTCTTATTCCCAGGAGCATCTCAGAACAAGCATCTTGACTGCCTCAAATCCTGCATCAAGCAAGGCACCCTCCACCCCATACAGTGCCACACCCTCTGCTAAATGTTAAGGTCAGTAGTAACTAATGGATCAGTGGCTATGAAGGTCTTTTTCGAGTGATCAGCATGCCTAGCTTGCATTAAATAGCCAACACTATTTGTAATGTTATAATTATAGTTTTGTGAAAAGGTTTTATGGGTGTAAAGTAAAACCGAGATGGGTTGAGATTGAACCAATTGTGTGTTGGGATTTTTCCCTTCTAATATCAATGCATATAAATGATTGTAATATTTACTGTACATAGCAGGGAAAATATTAATTCAGAACTGTGATAGAGAATTATCATAATATAAAAAATGGGTTTGTTACAAAAAATTTGTAAGATTACTTACTTATGATGTTATGTTATTCTCCAGGATGAAGCTGGCATCAGTAGTGTTGTGGAAAAAGAGTGAAGGAACACCCATTGCAAGTTCTGCTGTGTTCCTCTTGTTGGTCCTCGCCGTCAGCCACTGATGGAAACCCAGATTGTGTCGGCATTGTCACATTTACCCAAGAAAACATCGTACAAGAACGAGATGTATTGTTATCAAATAACAAATTTGATCAGTATCTGCAAGAGTAGTCAGAACCCTTCTAAAATTAAAAACATAGTACCACTTTCTGAAAAACATTTGCTCAGCACATTCCAATAAATTGGCTATGAGTTACTTCAAGTGAGCAGATGAAAGAAGAAAAAATAATCCCAGGCTGGATATCAACTTAAATGATGTAACCTCTCCAGGATAATATAATTAACCTATGAAAAGGAGAAAAAAGATCAATATTGAATATAATCCCTATTATTTTCTCTAGCTTTCTCTTCCAGTTCCAAAGGAATATGGGAGGGAAGACAACAGCAATTTTTGGCTGGATGAGCAAATAAATCTCTCGATTAGTTCATTCTCGTAGGAAACAAAATGTACTTAATGATGAGCAACACAAGCATGATTTCTGAATAGATACGTGCTTCAAAGTTTGTTTACAGTGCGAGGGAAATGAGGCTGGCCCCTCCCCACTGTTTACAACTTCTGTAATCCTCTCATTTTGAATGCTCTGTAAACTACAGCTATTTTTCTCATTCTAAAGTGCATAATCAACCCCATTTTTTTCTGCTCATTCTGGATGGTGAGCAAGTATTCCTAGTTCCTCCCGAGCTACGTGGCTTGCAGAGCCATCCGTTATCTCTTGTTGTTTTCAATGGGATGTACACACCTATCTGGCATCCTTTTATTTTCAATGATATTTACAAACTAATTTATATTCAATATGCCATCTCATCATGGATTATCTTTGTAACCATCTTTCAACTGTTTCCTCTTAAGATATTTACTATAAGTGAAAAGTTTTTGATTAGTCCAGCAGATTATAACTAACTTGACATTGTTTTGGGATTTAGGCACTAAGTGTCCTAATGTAAACTCCTTTAGGTTTGTTATTTATATCTAGAATTCTGATACATATAAATCTATGATTGAATCATAAGAATCACAGTGCAAGAATACATACAGCTGATTTTAGGGAAATAACTTAAAAGCTTTCAATAGATCCCGCAAAGCAAAAATAAAAATGAGCAAAAATTTACAAGCTACATTAGTCTACCTAAATACACTGAGAAAATCTTGCTGAGAATTTATTTTAATATCATCTCAGTATGTCCATCTTCACTGGAGTATCATATACCTCTGTATTAAACTTACAAATTTGAAGTAAGGATTTTCCTTAATACCATTGACTAGGACGACTGATGACATCATTTTTCTGGTGGAAAGTCAAACATATAACCCATACGAAATCACATGGCAGAAATTTTAAAAGATTGTTATCGGATTAATAACAGTGACGTGGTTCCTGAGCCTACCACGCCTTTTGGGGAAAATGATGTCGTGCAGTCCAGAAAGAATAAGGCACTCGTCATAGTTAGTGCTGACAGAAAACAGTTCGTCAGTTGAGAAACAAACGTAACAGCACTGAGTTTGGTACAAGAACAAAGAGTGAGACAGGTGCTACACTTAGCATATTATATATATTGAATACTCCTTTTTGAAAACTAAAAAAAAAAAAAAATTGTAATGTCACTCTTGAATGGTAATGGCAACTCTTAACTTTAAAATGTAAATATTACATTCTTACCTGTTAAACAGATATTGGTGCCAGTCAACAAAGAAATAAGTTCCAATCTATGCGAAGCTAGTATGATTCTGTAGTCCCTAAAGGCTTGGCCTGCATGGAACAGCATACCATGCTGTTAATCAGATGCTATATATCTTGGTTATCTTGAGATGATTTCAGGGCTTAGTGTCCCCGCGGCCTGGTCCTCGACCAGGCCTCCACCTGGTAGGTGGCCAGGTGGAGGTGTACTGGGTGTACACCTCCAGTACACCTACCAGGTGTACTGGTAGGTATAACGTAGCTTCTTGGACTGTCCTGGATTTGAACATACTTTGAGTTGACCTAAATTTAATTTACAGGTAAGAAGAATGGGAAATAGTTGTCAACATATTCCACACTGACATCCCCAATGTCCAGAACCCTTGATGTTAAAAAGATGATACAGTATTATATTCCACAAATTTACGTGAATTTTAATTCCTCTTTAACAGCACCAGCAGGAATAAACTAACCTTTTTAAATAACATTAACTTACCATGTAATCAAGAGACACCTAATTGTTAATTACCCTAGAAGTTCAAGTGTTTGGCCCTAGGCCTCAAATCTCATCATTCAGTCATTCATGAGAAACACATCTGTAAAGCCTATAAAAATCTTACCTCAATACCCCTGTAACACAACAATGATCTGTGTAGAATTTAACTGCAATAAACACGACAATAGAATTGAAACATTTACTGTAAGACATCTTTACAGAAAGGATTAGATAGTGTGGCCAGTTGGTCTTCACTGGTGGACGTACAGTATCACTCACGCAATGACCTAACCCCAAAAAAAACGTATACCTATTTGACATATGTATATAATTCTACCAAACAAAAGTCTGTCTACATTATCTACTAATATTATCTCCAAGGACAAGTGACTTATTATACAGTAATAAATTTTGTAACTTCAATAGTACCATAAATTTGAAACTATTACCTAATTAATTGCAAGGAATGCAGTTTGCTATATAATAATAATAATTCATTTTGTTGGGGGACAGGAAGCCAGTTGATACATACATACAGTAAATGTTAAGCTTACAACGAGGTCCCGTCTTCCAGGGTTGAAACACTACCCTTCCCCAGGACGCAACCACACAGCAAGCTGACTAACTCCTAGGTACCTATTTACTGCTAGGTCGACAGGGGCATTTGGTGACCATTTCTGACCCGCCTAGGATTCAAACTCAGAATTCTCAATTGTGAGTTGAAAACAAACCTAACTGTACTACCGGGACCTCTAAAATTATTTAAAATTTCTATATAATTTTTTTTACGAATACTCTTAATACATATACTGTACAATATTACAAAAAATGGGATAAAGATAATCATAGCATTGTACAAACCATAATAATAACTGCAAAGATTCTAATAACCCTCAATACTGGAGCAGATTTTGTTAGCTAATGTCACACTCACTAATCGGAGGCGGTGTGGGTAGATTTATAATGTCAGATAAATTTCAAACTAATTAATGCACAAGCATTTTATCAGTAAGAAAATCATTTATTATTTAAGATCCATCATTATTTGTGTAAGATGCAGGCTTAAGCCTGTACTAAACACACACTGTATACTGTATAATATTTCCCATGAATCTCTATTCAGTATTTTTTTTTTAAATTCATTTTCTCATGTCATGAATCAATCATTTCATACCTTTGGTAACAGGATGCAATATAAAGCTTTCACAGCACTTCTCCACAAGAACCTGTGGGACGAGACACATTAAGTACTGGAAATGGATGAGACAGTTTTGAGAGAGTCCCTCCCCCCAGTACATCTCCACCTTGTGACTTTCAAATTGCTCAGATATTCATTTGCATTGAATAGTTGTAATAATGCAAAGTAATTATCAAAAGAAAGCAACTAAGCCCACAAGGCTATATAGTACTATCTGTGTTACAGAATATTTCATAGTTCTTAGATATTAAACAGTATGCCAATATGAGACCCAAAAGACATACAATGGGTGATTAAAAAAAAAGTCAGAAAACAAACTGATACAGTATAAGTTTGAAGCATCTTGCTTCTACAGTGTCCTGTACCAACCTGATATTTTTTTTTTCAGTGAAATTCCTGCATGGGAATTAGCCTAAGGGCACTAAGCCTTAAAAATGCCAGTTTTATTTGTACTTACTTACTAATTCAATCATCAAACTACAGCACAACATTACTTCGTTCTAGTCAGGGTAACAGCTCATATTAGAAATCTACTGACAGGTACCTATGTACTGTACGTGTATACCTTAAGCCTTAATCAACAATAGCCCAGATACAGTACTACATAGATGAAAGGAAGTGCAAATCCTGAACTGCTCTAGTAGATGACTGGAAGCTATGACCCAGATCCAGTGCTAGTAGAAGATATGTGCTAAATAAAATGAATCATGCATCAGCCCAATGTTATACAATAACAAATAGGTGCTTTGCTAGTTATTGTAACCTGGTTACAATAACTAGCATATTGTACTACGAAGCAAAACTTTCTAACCTTCCACAGAATTGTTCAAAGCAGGGTACTGTTCTCTCTAAAGTACCACGACAGGCTGCAACATCTCTCTGCAGTTTATAGCAAATAAACTCAATAAGAGAAGACTAGACTGTAGGACTTAAGGAGTGAGCACCGACTTAACGTGCAACTATATAAATAGTGTCTGGGGTAAGAATTCACCATCATATTATAAATGTTTAATTATACAGCCAGACAGCACAACCATCTTAAATGTACATCTTCACATTCACCCAAACTGGCACCCTCTGAAAATGTTGTCATAAGTGCTTAACAATCTTGCTCTCGAAATAAAATTTAAAAAGGGTTAAATAAAGACAGGAATATGCACACAACAGCACAGTGGCTCCTCGGTTTTAAGACAAAACTATGGTTTCACTGGAATTTACAAAATCTTTTAAAAAAACAGGAGAAAAGGCCAAGCTTACTGAACAGGGATTTGAACATTATTTCAGGTTAATCACATATCATCAAAACTTGCTTTTGTCAGAAAATTACCTTTCACATCCATGTATATACAGTAGCAAGATCCATTTGCAATTATCTTGAATATAAAGTCAGGTCCACACTCACTCTCATAGTGAGAATGAAGCCAGATCCACTGGCACCCTTACATCTTGAGAACAGAGCCAGGTCTACTGGCATCCGTACATCTTAAGACCAGAGCCAGGCCCACTTTCACATCTTGAGAACAGAGCCAGGTCCACTGGCACCCGTACATCTTATGACCAGAGCCAGACCCACTTGCACTTTTACATCTTAAGAACAAAGCCAGGTCCACTCGCACTTGCTCCACCCAAAAAGAATCCTCTAGCAGCCAGCTCATCATCCACATCAGCCTGAAAGAAAGAAGGAAATTGGTATGTGTTTTCAAGATCATTTGTGACAGGAACTGAGATCATGGCAACTTAGGATGATCATTAATATGAGATTTAAAATGAATTTAACCCCCCCACAAAGAGCCAGAATACAAGAATAATAGGCAACTCAGGTGCATATTGTAAATACAAAAAAACTAATAATTACCAATTCCTTGAAGTTCTTGCCACCAGATGGGGGCTTGGGACTGAGGCCAGTTTTTTTGGAGCGGCCATGAGGATTTTCTGACTTGGCTGGCCACGTTGGAAACATTGCAGGATCCACTGGTGCTGGAGCCTCTTTGTGAAAATATTCATGACTTATTGCTTCGTGACATGTAATGCGCTTCTGAGGGTTATATGTTAGGAACCTGTGAACGAAAATAAATTGTTGTTGGTAAGAATAAGATAAGATAAGGTAAGAAATTGTTATGGTAAGAATTAAACAATGATACATTTCTAACAAATAAATTAATTATAGTTATTTAATTTAGATAACTAAAGATAAATTTACAACTAGAAAACCCTCTGTTAGTCTATCCAGTGAGCTCTCTTTTAATATACAGTTAAAACGGTCTTCTGCACATCATTCTATAATTACCCTACCCACTGGCACTCCCAACTTATCTTCTCACTACTATATACAGTACAGTTTTACCCTCAGTGTCCCATCAATCTGTCTTGTACTGTACTTACAGCCAGTATGCCTACTCCCAGCATCAAACAAACTGACGTAGGGAACCTCTCACCATGAAAGGTTTCCATGCCTCCAAACACAACTTTAGACACACAAATCCTCACAACTAACAAATTCTGGACACATACTATATCCACCCTGAAAGATCTGCCACAATACCCAGTCGCAGGGCTTATGGGAAGCCTTCCTCACCTTTTTCACTTTCCTCACTTTTTCCTCACATACATTCTGTTATTTCCATACACCAACCCAATCCATCCATCTACTGGCATTTATCTACCTATCAGCACCCTATAAATGTCCTCCTACTACCCAGAACATGTAGGGTAGTGTTAAGGTATTAAGGGGAACTATACATGTAGGCCATGCATAGTTAGTTAGAATAAGCTGTTCTAACAACAGGCATTCCTCCACACTAGCTATTTATTTATATACTGTATACTCTTACTTTCTCACTCACATTCATCTGCTTCTTATCCATAAGCACACCACACACGACCTCAACAATATATTACCTGTTAAGAAGGCTAAATCCCTGGTCAGACAGCCTTGTCTTGAACCTATCACGCAGATGGTTATACGGAAAATCTGCAAACTGCGTCTTTTTCACAAGGGGCAACTGGCTGTAGCCAGGCCAGATCTTTTCACTTGGTGTTCCGAGATCCTGCAAACAAGTTACCAACATGGAGCAAATGTTTATAAAACTAAGTAGCACACTAAGAATTGCAAGATAAAGTAATATAAAATATATTATATTTAGTTTGTTAATATAAATTACAATACTATATATACCATGCAACCCTTAAAATAAAGCTTAATATAATTATATACAGTAATTAATTATATAGGAAAAGAAAATACTGTATTAGTGTTCAGGGAGAATCCACAAGGTCTTCTCTGAATACTCCTTATTTTCTTCTCTTATAGGAGAAGAAAATAAGGAATACTCCTCTTTTCTTTTATATACAGTATATATATATATATATATATTTTTGCCCGAAACGCATTGCGTAATAGTGGCTTTAGGCATTGTATGTACTAGCTCTACCTATATATCAATCCATTAATGTAACATCACTTGTATGTACCTTACCTGAATAAACATATTTATTATTTATTTATATATATATATATATATATATATATATATATATATATATATATATATATATATATATATATATATATATATATATATATATATATATATATATATTTATTTATTTATTTATTTGGGAAGCCTTCCATTTATACGCCACCAATAGGCCCACACATGGATAATAATAGCATAAGATAGTAAATATGTACAATGAATTAGTGAGACAAATGTGTATCAATGATTCTATTCAAATCACTCTTTAATTGAGCTATCAAAAATGGATCTAAGTTATATAAACCACTGCTAATGTTCAAATTACATTCTTTGGTAATCTGTATTAAAGCAGATTCAATTATGTTCCTGTTATAAGTGATTTTACAATTCGTTATTGAAGAAGCCATTTCCCAATCAATTTGGTGAGCATTTTCTGTCAAATGAACAAACATCTCCCAAAATTGATTGGGAGATGGCTTCTTCAATAACATTGTACCTCACCTCACTTCACCTCTCTCCTGCCTATATATATGTCTCCTGCCTATATATATGTCCAATACTTGACTTGTAAATCATTCCTTCTGAAGATGTATTAATATACGTCATTCCTTTCAAAATCCTAAAATAAGATTTATCTTTGGCTCATAATGACAATACCAGTATTAACTCACCAAAGTGACAAACTAAGCGACACTTTAGTAACCACCTCTCACTCCCACACCTCTACCTTCAGCTACTTCATTTTCATAAATAGATTTTTTCTTTTCACAAGGTATGGTATCCTGCTATTAATTTTAACACACTCATCATCATTTCAAAGATCACCATCATCCTCACCATCATCATCATCATCGACACAATCATCATCATCACTAACATCATCACCACTGTCAACATCATTATCCCCACCACCACCAGTGCCGGGAGGCATTAGTGTAGAGAAACAATGGGACTTCAGTCAATTCTCACCTTGAAAATCTTATTAAGCTGATCAATTTCTGACTTTCCAGGGAACATGGGCTCCATGCCAAGCAGCTCGCCGAAGATGCAGCCGACAGACCAGACATCAATGTGGGTGGAGTACTGCTTCGCCCCAAGCAGGAGTTCGGGAGCACGATACCAGAGGGTCACCACTATAGGAGTGTAATGCTTGAGCGGTGAACCATATTCTCGGGCCAAGCCAAAGTCTCCAACCTGTAGAGGATCATTATGGGTTTTTTTTAGTGTGGGGGAGGAGCATTTTGGTTTGGGAGTCAGCGATATAACTCAATATATCATTGAAACAGCATCCGATTATTAGAGGAAGAGACTTAAACTTTTCTGCATGATGCTAATGGTTGGTACAGTCATGAGTCAGTTCAGAAGATATCCAGGTTGATAAAATTATATCATGAGGAGGTAGTAGTGACGAGAAACTCTCACGATTCCATAATTGTGAAGATATTATACTATGATACTCTCAACTTCAAGTCAGACCTAGTAGGATTGACATATAGGTTGCCTTTGTATGAGATACCCATGGGTCAAGTATGCCCGAGTCAATCTATGACAGGCCATGAAAGGGTGATACATGCACATATGGGTCTTTTTGTTGATCAATTTTAACAGTGCCTTTATAGTACCGTACCTTCAAAATGCCCCGATGAGAGAGGAGCAAATTGGACGTCTTGAGATCTCTGTGGAGAATCCAGTTGTCATGTAGATGATGCACAGCTCTCAGTAGCTGTCTCATCAGAGTCTTCACCTCCCCGATGGTAAACATCTGCTTCTTCTGTCGCATCGTCTCCATGAGGCTCTTCAGGTCGTGTTCTACATAGTCCATAACAATGTAGATTTTGTCCATGTTGCTTCCCACCACAATTTCTCTCACAGTCACTATGTTATCGTGCTGTCCCTGATGAAGGAGAGCCAAGAAACATGTAAATACAATACAATACTTCCCTAGCGTGCTTCCTGCGGATGAAAGATACTATTATTACTATTATCATGTCTATGTAGCTCTCCAGGATCACAATCTTATTAACACTCAATGGAATTGTTCTTCATCATGAGAAAGTCAAAGAAAACCACTTACTATTGTTCTTTATTACTCGTAAACCTATTCACGCCAGGCAACCACAATCGTAAAACAATACCAGGACATTGACATCGAGAATGGAATTTATGTATCACAAAGATCGTGTGTGTGAATGCACACTTTAGGCTATTTAGTAATAAAGGTATCATCCTTCAGAAAAGTAAGCAAATTTCAGCAAGTACAAAAGTTTAACTAATCAACCTGAGCTAAAGAAATAATTAATCTGTGGGCTTGTAATTTATAAAATCTCAAAATAAGAAATGATAAATGATAATGATAAAAGATAAAGAATATAATATAAAGGAAAAGTGGTAAAGTAGAAACAACATTTTAAGAGGTCAAGCCAATGACACAAACAACGAACCTTGAGCAGCGTGTTGACCTCTCGCAGTGAGGTAATAGGAAAACCCTCCTTTTCCTTCTCCATCTTAAGTCTCTTGAGAGCAACTATTTGATTTGTTGCTTTTTCCCTGGCTCTGTACACCACCCCATAAGTTCCCTCCTCAATCCTGGAAATAAAATGAGTGAAACCTCCATGAATGTCAGGCAGCAGCTCATCAACTGTGATGGTGGCTGTCACGGTTGATGCAGTTATATATCTTCTAATATATACTTACAAGATCTTGCAGATTCTCCCACCCCTAACTTATATTATATTTCAATATAATAGATATATATACACACACACACATTCTATTTCAAACCAAGTGGAGTGGAAAATGTCGGGCATGTCTCTCAGAAAACTGACATATTGTATATACAATTATCAATTATCCTAACATAATATCTTTTAAAAATCAACAAGGAAATTGAGCGCACCTATTCAGACACTCAAACTCATCAACAGAACGGCAGCCCATGATAGCAGGATAGTATGAGGGTAAATCTTCCTTGAGTTCTAATGGAGATTCAGGAGATGAATCCGGTATGTAATTAGCCTCTTCACGGTCTGATCGTCGGTCCTCCACGCTGGAAAGTCAAAAGAGCAAAAGTTTGTAATCAAATTAGTATATTAGGATCAAAAGCAAGCAAAATGTATACAATAATTCTTTACCCAGTGAGGTAAAGCTCACTACAGATATGAGCCAACAACCATCAATGTCTGAAGTTGATGCTCTCACACACTGCCCTTCACATATAACTTCTGGAAAAGTGACAAGTAAAACCATCAGTTGTTAGCCACTTCACCCTTATGATGCTAAAATGTTTCTAACTTTTTTCTACAGATTTCTGCACTTATAATAAACCCAAGAGAAATACATATGAAAAGAAATTTGGATATAATTGATCAGCTTACAGTTGTTATTTAATTCAAGTCTAAGGGTTAAGAAAGGTACTGGTGTTTCAAGTAAAATAATAATAAGGCTTTGGGGCGAGATGAAAACTTTATTTTTAAGCACGCTACTCACTTGCTGATTTAGGCAAGATTCTGCTGTTTCCATAGACAGAGCTATATACCCAGTCAGGGAATGCTGAACTTAAAATAAATTTGACAAAGATCTTTCCAAAATGTCCCTGCCAGGCTATATATTGATGCAAAAGGCACTCTGAGAATACTCAGTCTAGCCCAGAATGATCTTGAAGAGGCTCATTCAACCACAGTACACTCAAAAGGTCTTCCATTGCAACTTTGTCTTAAGAGAAACGAAAACAGCCAAGAAATGTTCTCAATAATCTTGGCTGGTCAGTACTTTTATTGTTGCCCTGTTTGGCTGGACGATTTGCTTGCCCTTAGACACAGTAATCTTATTTATGAAGTACAGTACCTAAATGGGAAAGCTCAGAAAAATATATATCTTTTATAAAATGTGTGTAAGAAGCATGTGTACAAACTGGATTTTTCACATTTTTTATACTCGAATCTTTAATTTAAAAAATGTCCGGGTTTCAAAATGTAATTACAATACACCTGAAGAGTTAGTTCTTTGTGAGTAATCTTTATCCAATGCCAGAGATGCTCGAGGTTTTTAGGACACATGTGGGCCAATGGTTGGCACGTACCCTGCCAGTCACATTTGAAAAGGAATTTTAATTACAAATAGTCGCGGGATAGCAAAATTAACGTCGATACTAGACACTGTGACTAAAAATAACTTGCAATAGATGGAAGAAGTATATCCTTATTCTTGTTTAGCAAAACAAAGCTTGATCACATAAAACCTTAAATAACATACCTTGAACAGCATACAAAGTTATTCTGTTATTACCATTCCTAGAATCTTTTACTAATTATTACACAAAACCTGTCTAGATACACACGTGGGAGAGTCTTCATAGCGGCCAGCTTGGTTAGGTGAAAGAGTACCCGATCTTGCCGATCCAGAGCCACTGCCCGACACAGACAGATCACCTGGTAAAATAGGAAATTCGTATAATAATAGTAATAATAATAATAATAATAATAATAATAATAATAATAATAATAATAATAATAATAATAATGATAATAATAATGATAATAATGATAATAATAATAATAATAATAATTTGTTTTGTCAGGTACAGAGAGCCTGTGTGTCAAGGCTGGATAAAAGTCCCCTACCCTCAAGGTTGAATTACTGACCCTTCCAACGATGCAACCCCACCACAATTGTCTAACTACATGTACTGTACTAGGTGAACAAAGGCATTAGGTGAAAGGAAACATGCTTACCATTTCTGTCCCGCTCGAGAATCGAACCTGGGATCCCTGATTGTGCATTGAGAACAAAGCCAACTGTACTACAAGACCCTAGTACTGCATATAGTACAATTTATCACTGCCTTAATTAAAAATACAGTACAGAGTAAATAATAAATCATCACCACCAATCTGCTTCAGAGTTTAATGGGGTGGGGAGGCATCAGCTCATTAGAAATAGGATAGAAACTAAAAATAGAAAAATACATCCCCCAAAAAGGGTATCCTGTCTCTCTGCTATATTGCCTACACTACAAAGGGGACCTACCTACCTGGGACCTGGGTGGGTTGATCCCCAAAGGGAAATCAACCTACCCAGGATTTGCGCCCTGGAGAGGCCACTCCAGACTGACAACCAGAGCGCAACTCCATAGTCTCCCGAGACTGATGGATGCCTACTACTACTACATACTATTAAGTACTACAGACCAGCACATAGTTTCATCCCAGCAAAGGCATTCACAGCAGGACTCACAGTTCAAACAAGTCAGCGCAAAGTGCCTCCCATGAGTTGTCTCTTAACAACTGCCTTTACTCTCGTAAAATACTATTTCTCGTGCACTGTTTACATTCGATCCCCACCTCCTAACACACTCGCTACCACCATGTCTGTCCTTTGTACTACTGGACTTCCTCACCTTCTCCTATTGTCATATTCACTTAACAACTCTCACCATCCATTCATTCAAGATGACCAAAACATCTCAATAAGCTTTCTCAATCTTACAATTTACTAACATTCATAATCTATATCTTTCTGCAGCACTTTCATTCCTGACTCCATACTCCTAATACCACTAAAAGTGCCCATTTCCAAGCATTAATTTTTGGCTACTCATGGTCATTCCATCTATGGTTAAATCTCTTCCAATCATATTTCTCCTGACTGCAACTTTAAATGTTCTAGTCACTTCCCAGTCCAAATTTTCTCTACTCATGGCTTCTTATGCACAAACTCCTCTTTCACCAATTACAAACCCTCAGTATTTAAACTGATTACTCAATTCTAAAAAAAATTCTCCTACCCCTATTTCACATACTTGAGTTTCCTTCTCTCTCAAACACCATTACTTTACTTTCATCCACATTCCCTTTTAGAAATCATCTCTTACATACATCCAATACAGATGCCATAATTATTCGTGTCAAAGAGACGCCGACATCCGTCAGGTTATTACCAGAGTCTTTCTCCTTCTTAACAGTATCGTCATCCTTCTCCTCCTCCTCCTCTTCCTCCTCATCCTCCTCCTCCTCTTCATCCTCCTCCACCTCTGTCTCACTGCTCGTGCTGTCACTATCTGCAAATAACAGAAAATAGAAAAACTTCAATGATACAGGGGACACCATTTTTGTCATAACTTAGTAATGTGGTTCATAAAATGCCTTAAACTAACTTGAGTATTCGAGCTTGCAATTTATGAGCGGGAACACCACCATTCACCACCTACAAAATGAAATGCTGTACACCAATACATTGTTACATATTAGTAGCTTATTAAAAAAAAATAAGGTTCGCCTGTTCAGTAAAAAATTAGTAATGGTCACCTTTACCATATTAATTAATTTTCATACAGTACACAAAATTGCTATAAACACCAACTGATAATATATTTACAAAAAAAAAAAAAAAAGCATTGAAATGAAACGCCACTTTCTGGATGAGACCCGGAGGCTCCCCAGGGTCTCTTTCCAGGCTGATATGAATGTATCAGACCCCTGATATCAACCAAGCGAATGGAGTTCTAGGCCTACCGGGGACCATGAGCCAGAATCTGGCCCCCTCAGATAGGCACGAGGAGCAATGGCCTATAGAAACCCACGTGTGGTTGGAAGTATTCGATGTTTGCCATCGACCAGTTCAGGAACCCAGAAAGGTAACTACAAGAGTGTTAAGGTCTACAAGATCCTAGTATTTGAGCTGAATCCTTAGTAGACCATACAGGCTTGGACTCGGGGAGCATCCTCTGAGGGTCATTAGTTCAGAAAACAATGTCTGAACAACAAAACAAAAGTTTTAAACTGCCTAGGTTATAAAGGCAAGAATAAGATATAAAACCTCGTATGTTTGACAAAAAGACACCATCATTATAATCATGTAAAAGTAATAAATTATAATTTTTAAGCATAATATCAGAATAACAGTACGGTATTGAGAATGAAAAGTTGATAAAAAAATCACTGAATAAATCTGCAACAGTGAATATTATTTTCTAACGTACTCAAAGATAAACAGAATTCTAGACACTATTAATTTTATAATATAGAGAATATACTATTAATGTATTAAAACTACATATCAGCAGGAACACACACAGTCCTCCAATCACAGATCACAATTTAATAGCCACAAAACAAGCTTTTCACTCATGGATAACGTAAAAATTCTCATAAAACAAACCACCGCTAATGCATTACTGTGCAATCACCATAAAATACTCAGTCATCCATCTAAAGGTAAAAAAATGTCCTCATCTTAACAAATCCTTCCAGCTGCACTTTCATTTATCATTTCTGTGCATATTGGAGAGCGGACCCTGCCATTGAAAGCTCAATCCAGTCTCGTGGATATCTAAATAACTGAATAATGAACTCTTACCCAACCTAAGGATTGCGAGTATGTTAGATACAGGGCCCCATAAATAACACCTGTATAATTTGGCTTACACTATAACATCCAAATACAACTTAACACTTATGTATTCAAAGAGCACAGCACCCTATCTGTCTACATCCAAGCCATCCAGAATTCTCAAGTATGGGTTTGTCATTCAATTCATTTATAAATTGTTCCATGAGACTCATCAAGCCATGAATAATGATAATCAACACAACAGATCCTTCTGACCACAGATTATAGTGAATACATCAACACGGATCCTTTCATTGTAACTAGAGAAACACATCCTTCCAGCTATGAATCACAGCACGTTTATCACAGCCATTCCATGCCAAATCATTGTAATCAACACGACACATCATATTAGCTACAGAGCACAATGTAATAAGCATAAAAGAATGCATACACGCACTAAAGGCTATTGCATCTTTTAAAGTCAATAGCCTCTCATATGCAATATTTTGTAAAATATTAGACCTAACTATGTAAGGTTGTAACAGAACCCATGGGCACCATACCAGACACAAATACCTATTTGATATTCCAAGCGTACAACTTAATCAAACTAGAAATCATAGGCTTGTCATATGGCCAACACATATGACAAACACACACACACACACACACACGGTTTATGGGGTCTGGTAGCTGAGTGGACATCATGCGGGACTCAAAATCCTGTGGCCTGGGTTAGATTCCCGGTGCCGGCCGGCAAATGGGCAGTTTCTTTCACCCTGATGTTCCTGTTACCTAGCAGTAAATAGGTACGTGGGAGTTAGACAGCTGTTACGGGCTGCTTCCTCTGTGTGTGTGTGTGTGTGTGTGTGTGTGTGTGTGTGTGTGTGTGTGTGTGTGTGTATGTGTGTGTGTGTGTGTGTGTGGTGTGTGTGTGTGTGTGTGTGTGTGTGTGTGTGTGTGTGTGTGTGTGTGTGTGTGTGTGTGTGTGTGTGTCTGTGTATGTGTGTGTGTGTGTGTGTGTGTGTGTGTGTGTGTGTGTGTGTGTGTGTGTGTGTGTGTGTGTGTGTGTGTGTGTGTGTGTGTGTGTGTGTGTGTGTGTGTGTGTGTGTGTGTGTGTGTGTGTGTGTGTGTGTGTGTGTGTGTGTGTGTGTGTGTGTGTGTGTGTGTGTGTGTGTGTGTGTGTGAGAGAGAGAGAGAAAGATAAAAAAATAGTAGTTAGTAATGGTTGATTGACTGAGAGCCGAGAGGCGAGCTGAGAGAGCAGAGCTCAACCCCCGCAAGCACAACTAGGTGAATACAGGTGTATGTGCAAAGACATGCAACAAAATGGCTTCCAGAACTGAAAAACAAGAGTTACGAGGAGAGGCTAGAGGTGTTAAATAAGCCGAAGAAGAAAAAGAGGTGATATGATCACCACTTAAAAAATAACAACAGGAATTGACCAAATTGACAAAGAGGAATTACTGAAACCAGCAGCTTTAAGAATAAGACGACAAAGATTCAAGTTAAGGAAACAAAGGTGCCAATAAAATATTAGAAAGTTTTCTATTGCAGAGTGGTAGACGGTTGGAACAAGTTAAGTGAGAAGATGATGGAGGCCAAAACTGTCAGTAGTTTCATAGCATTATATGACAAAGAGTGCTGGGAAGATGGGACACCACGAGCATAGCTCTCATTCTGTAACTATACTTAGATAATTACACACACACACACACACGCAACAATCAAACAGCTATCTATAAACAACAGTTGCTCAATACAGCAGCAGGCATTGATACAGAATACAAAATAAATAAATAAAACTTAAATACAAAATAAATCTAAAATTAAAATATAAAATAATCCTAACACTACTCAAGCTTTTCAAGTTTATGTTAAAAGTTACATCAATATCTCAAAAATCGTCATGATGCTGCTAAAAACTATGACACTTGGCACTAAATCACTCCCACTATGTTTATACATTAGCTGACTATCAAGTTATATTTGGGAAAGACATATTGCAAAAGTCTATATATGGGTGAACTCAGGAAGGACAATTGTCCATAATACAGTGCCTTTAACATAGCATGACTCCCCAGATGACGTGACTGTTCATAGTAACACTGTTCTAGTGCCAGGTGACATTTTAAAGAGAAAAAGGACCAATGACTAATAACAAAAACCTTAAAAGACCTATCAACACTAAGCATTAATAATATCCGCACAAACACCAGAACGCAAATACAGTACAAAACGATTATTTGCAAGCAAACAAACAAGCAATCCAAACAAAAGGAACACGTCTGCTAAAAAACACGAAGATCAACTTACGGTACTGACTCCTCTGAGGGGGCGTGGGGGAGCGTGCCCTCTCTGGGGAGGCAAAGGTGCAGCTCAAGCATTTGGAAACATCACCACCAAGATATTGTTAAACCCCCCAAAAAATGGAAAACAAGAAATGTATGCACGATCCAAATCAGGCACTCGGCAATTGCATGTTATCTGATTAATGGCCGTATACAAATTCATCGTTTCCTAGAAGTATTTTTTTTTAATTGGCAAATTACATCGAGCAGTTATACAGCATTTATTTACATCTTACCACCTAATCTGCTAGCCAAAAAATATCTATAAATATAGATATAGATATATCACATTAATTAATGTGATTTTTGTGAATATACAAATATATATTTGAATAACACTATATACTATAGGACACTATAGGAAAATTCCGACCAAATTCAATACTGTAATTGTTTAAATGATCGGTTCAAAACAAAACCCTGGTATCAAACACACTGAACAATAAATGATCTATAAAACTTATTACAGGTCAGTGTCAAAACAAATGACAACAGGATATGTATAAACCATTAAATAATTATGAAAAATTACACTCGCATATTAGTTCTCATGTTTGGCCTAAAACTACTCCACCCTATAAAAAACACAACTCCCACTCCTACAACAGCACTTTCCTCCTCAGAATTACCGTATCTTAACAGACGACAAGAACACAAGAGGTCCATGCCGCACTTGTCGCAAATCAAGCCATGGATCATAAGTGGACCTTACACAGTGGTAAGCTGGGAAGGGCCTAAACAATCTGCATGATAGCATACAGAGGACACCATTAACAACTTTGTGGAGCCCTCTGATGACTGTGGTATGAAAACTTCTCATCTTATCTTCAAAGAATTTCATCACTGCAGACAGCTATAGATATAAGCTTCGTGGTGCATATTGCCAAATCATGTCTCACTTACGCTTGTTATGATATATTATGACTTCACATTATGAACTGTTATTAGCAATGCAAACCATTTGTAAATATTGAGCACTGTACCATCTCCAGCTGCTTATAAAAAACAATAAAAATCATTCTGGGGTTTTCATTGTTCCCACAATCCACGCTGAAGAGTATAGTGCTTTATTTACAAGCATCCATCACAAAATGGCAACTAATGTTCTGTTGAACCTTTTCACGTTTTTGGCCTCTTACCAATTTCGGGCACTATTAGCATCTTGGGCCGAGTACAAATCGCTTAGCAGTACTGTACTCTACTTCCAACGTACTGGCATACTGCAACGTTACTACGCAGGGTAAAGTGTTCCATTTGGTATAATTTTTAAGCTAGAGTTGTACTTTATGAATGTATTTTAAACAATGCAATAAAAGGTAAATATAATAACACAAGGCAAGTTAAAGTTACCCAAGATGAGGGTTGAAAATGAAGACTACAGTCATCATCGAAACAAACTGGCGTCTTGAGCAAATAACAACTGTAGATGTCACAAAAACAGTAAAGGGTTAATGGCACCAAAACTATTTACTGAAGCTCAGTATTTTGTCTTCTGAACTCATAAGCAGCATCCTATCAGCTATTTAAAGTTCACTTCCACTTTCTTCTGTGATGCTTATAATGTCTCACTTAATCTGCTGATAGGTCTAATGTCTTACTGTGTCTGCTGGCCTACCGTCTCACTGTCTCTGTCTGCAGGAAAGTTTAACACTTCACATGACTTTTAAGCAGCAATTACTGTGAGTTAAATAAAACTTTATATACCAAAGAACTCCCTAAATATTTTAGAAATTACACAGAGGGAGACGGTACAGTGTAGCTTAAATCTTTAAAAACAATAGAAGAAAATTGGATGTCAGTTTCATTAGTTCTTCCTAAATATATAGTCATTAAATGCATAAACTCATCTATTCCCAAAGTTTCTTTAATAGCAGGTAGCAGTTCGTCTCCAAACCCACTCCCAGAAAAACTGATGACATTGCGTGCTCTTCATCGACTCTGATGGACAATCATCATTAGTTTTTTTTAGTTATTAAATCGATTGTGAGAACATCGAATACACTAAAAAATTCCATTTGAGAGACTAATGAAACACTCCTCAGTTAAAATCATTAATGTAGGCAAAGATAAAAACAGGAAATACAATTTTTGAGTAAATACAAATATATGAATATGGCAAAGCTAATATAAAACAGGAAAACATATAAAATGCTCACCTGAGTCAGATTCACTGTCAGAGGAGCCGCTGGCACCAGACTCTACCTGAGTCACCACTCTGCTGTCATCTTTCTTTTTCTTTTTTCCCTCTTCGTCTGATCTTCGCTCTTTGGAACCCTTGCGAACTTCAGGCTCCATAATTTCTTCGTACTCACCCTCTTCCTCCTCATCGCTTACAATTGTAACTTCTTCAGTGGGTTCTGCAAAAGGAAAAACAATCAATAGAAACAATTCTAAATAAAAATTCATAGTATTTTTTTTTTTATATAGAAAGGGACAAGTTGTCGGCAGCAACCAATATCTCCATTCACCTGTAGAGGGATAAGGATCATGGTGATGTTTCCGCTTCTTCTGTATTGGCATTTCATTGGGAGAGTGAGTCCTACTATGTCTGTGTTGTAACATGTCCCCACGATGACGCCCCACTTGGTGCTCGTCTCGTCTCTCCTCCTCACGTCTCTCTTCCTCCCGTCTCTGTCTTCTTGTCTCAGCTTCTCGCTGTGATAACTCCTTTTGTTTATCTGGAACAGCAATGAGTTTCAATGAATTTAAAAACTAAAAACACACGTGAGCTTAAAAAAGAAAACTCACGTGTGTGACAGGAAATGGGGTGGAGATGACACTAACGATTTTTTTTAAAAATAGGGGTTCGTAGTGAAGTGAAACTCAACTTTCAGAGCCGAACTCTTTTATTTTACCTGAGCTAGAGTCATTATGGTACACCTATTATTCATATCCCCAGCTAGGCACTCATCAACCTTTTTCACCCCATTGTGAAAAGTATCTTCGTATCAACAAAAATAGGAAGGAGAGGATCAGCTCACAATCAAGCAAAGAGTGCACAATACTATTTCTTAAAGATACCCTGCAAGTGATAATTAGCAAACACAAGCAATGTATGGACACAAGAGCAGAAGGGCCAGGAATGGGGGGAAGTTTTTGGAAAAATGAACTTACCTGGGGTCCTGACAGCTGAGTGGACAGCACTTGGGATTTGTAGTCCTAAGGTTCCGGGTTCGATCCCCGGTGGAGACGGAAACAAATGGACATAGTTTCTTTCACCCTGATGCCCTTGTTCACCTAGCAGTAAATAGGTACCTGGGAGTTAGACAGGTGCTACAGGTTGCTTCCTGGGTGTGTGTAACAAAAAAGGAGGCCTGGTCGAGGATCATGCTGCGGGGACGCTAGGCCCCAAAATCCTCTCAAGATAACCTCAAGATGATACAAGGCTCTGCAACCAGGATTGGAAGAAATAAATAAAAAGTTTCCCACCAATCCTAGTCAAGACAGAGCACATTCAATACAAATGCCATTGGGTCAGGAAACTGAGGCACATACACAGGAAGCTAGTGGCTCCATGTGGAGGTGAAAAGATCCACCTAAGGAGGTAGAATTTGTTGCATAAAAAAAATGAGACCTCATCTGAGAGTAAAATGCATTAAATACACAACACTGAAAAGACAGAGAAGAGGTTAAAGCTAAGGGTCTTGCTCAATAATGCGAAAGATTTGGTATTATTTAACCTTCTCTGAAGCAACAGTGATACCAGAGAACTGTCTGACTGCATTTGGAGACAAGCCTCAAGGAAAGGAAGTACGCTAAAATTCTATCTAAACTGCCATGATCTCCTGCACATTGATGTGAACGCATAACAATACAGTAGATGAATGTCGCTGGCTAGCATGGGGACATTCTGGCAGCAATGCCCTGGCAGAAACCAGAAGCATTGGTGAAGAGCTTGAATAACAAATCCCAAGGTCGAAATGTATCCAAGATCTGAGAAACACTAATAGAATTTCTTCCCAATAGGAGTAGGATATGTAGTTAATCACTTCCCATGACATATAAGCCACTCAGCCTGTGCTAAATCATCAGACAATTTGAATTTAAGTATCTTGTCCAATCGCTCCGGGGCGATTGGAGCAGTACAAGTTAAAAAAAATATAATATGAATGGCTCACCTCTATTTGATCAGAAGTGTAAAAATTACAAATAAAATGCATTTGAGTCATATAAACACATTTCTGTCACAAACAAAATTAACTTTAAGTTAGTCATGAAATCTAAAGTGCCTAGGCTGTTATACTCACCCCACCCCACAAAAAAAAAATTCAATAACTAAACTATAATCATGTTACAAACCTGCGACGAGGAATCTCTCCATCCTTCTATCACGTTCAGCTCGCTCCCTCGGTGACAACTGAACCAATGGTCTCTCCTCTCGTCTGTGGTGAGGATATGGAGCATATTCATTGCCACCCATTCCGCCACCTCCTCCCATTCCACCACGGCCTTGATGTTCGCGATGATACTCAATGCGCTCATATTGGTCCCTTTCATCTACATAGTACTCTTCACGCTCCCGTTCTCGTCGTCTCTCCTGCAACATTGGATGATAATATTCTCCAGCATCATTCGTGAACAGTTCCTACAAAATGTAGGTACTGTACAGTGTACAGAAAAACTAAATTATATACAGTATATAATTTATGTACCAGAAATGATGATATAAAATGCTAATGAAACAGAAATTTCTTTGAATCTTTAAAATGTACTATATATATATTACTCTCTAAAAGTATATACTGTACTTACTGGTTGTGGCTTATGAGGACACAAAGTCTACGTAACTGAAACTGTGTTCACACGAGCATCTCAGGTTTTCATGAAATTTGGCAGGATGGTAGAGGACATGAAGTACCTTACATGTACAAAATTATAGTGCTCAGTAATGCACAATATTCATACCCTACAGTTTGCCAATGAGAAAAAATGCAAAATCTTTGCTTACATGCTTAAAAAAAAATAACTGTGTTGACCAGATTACACACTAGAAAGTGAAGGGACGACGACGTTTCGGTCGACTTGAGAATGGTCCAGGACGGACTGAAACATCGTACTCCCTTCACTTTCTAGTGTGTGGTCTGGTCAACTTACTTCAGCCACGTTATTGTGACTCATCGCCTTAATAACTGTGCTTCTAATTGAGGTAAAACTTTAATATTGTGCTAGTTTTGAAGCTAAGGAAGCATTGTTTTCATTAAAAATAATTATACATTAAATATATTTTTTTCTTTCAAGATCACATGATGTAAACTTAAATATATAAAAATAAGTCTCATTTTTTGAGAGAAAAAATGTTATACAGATAGGTGCATCACTGAGCGCTAAAATTTTGCATATGCAAATTATCTCACACACTCTAACATCCTTCCAGATATTGTATAAATCAAAGATGGTTGGGTTGGTAGCTGTGACGATTTCACATGGAACGAGCCTGCAGTGTGTTTCCACTCTAAAATCTAGTACAGTACTATACAAAAGTCATACAAAAAAAATCAAAGCATCAATACTACAGCACAAACTACTAACAACAAGTTAGTACAGCTCACCATGTCTCTGTCGACCATCTTTCTCTTTTCAATCTTACTGCGTAGATCAATAACAGGCCTCTCATGTTTGGGCACTCTCTCATGTCGTTTTTCATGTCGTCGGGCCTCACGAACTTCACGAGTCTCTCGTCTCTCACCCTCGCTTCGGTCTCTGTAAAGGCAAAAGACAACAATTTCAATTATTAAAATTAAAAAGAAAACAACAAGACCAGGACACTATGGTACCTTTTTGGTAGTACAGTACAACCTACCATATAATTATTACTACGATGGAAGATGGCTTCGATATATATATATATATATATATATATATATATATATATATATATATATATATATATATATATATATATATATATATATATATATATATATATATATATATATGTCGTACCTAGTAGCCAGAACGCACTTCTCAGCCTACTATGCAAGGCCCGATTTGCCTAATAAGCCAAGTTTTCATGAATTAATTGTTTTTCGATTACCTAACCAACCTAACCTAACCTAACCTAACTTTTTCGGCTACCTAACCTAACCTAACCTATAAAGATAGGTTAGGTTAGGTTAGGTAGGGTTGGTTAGGTTCGGTCATATATCTACGTTAATTTTAACTCAAATAAAATAAAATTGACCTCATACATAATGAAATGGGTAGCTTTATCATTTCATAAGGAAAAATTTAGAGAAAATATATTAATTCATGAAAACTTGGCTTATTAGGCAAATCGGGCCTTGCATAGTAGGCTGAGAAGTGCGTTCTGGCTACTAGGTACGACATATATATATATATATATATATATATATATGCTAGAGATCTTTTTTTCCAATAATAAATTAAAGATTCCAATAATAAATTAAATTCTCGTCTCCAGTTCTGGAGACGAGAATAAGTTCATAAAAAGCTACATTACCTTTCATTTATTATATAAGAATCTTCTAACGCCCAGTGTTGGTCCATAAAAACGGCTTCATTTTCTTCCTGTAAGTCAGTTCAAACACTGTATACTCCTTGCTTACCTATGTCTTCGGTGGTCACGGCGCCTTTCTTCATGGCCCCGGTGCTCTCGATTACGATGACGCTCTTTATGCCGCTCAGCCTTGTGGCGATGCCGATCTCTCTTGTCACGTTTTTCACGCTTCTCCCGACGCTGTACTACAGCCTGGGGAGGCTTGATGTCAAGGCTGTCACCTTGATCCCCATCATAAGAAGACATACTGAAAGTGAACACATATTCAATCAACTAATTTCATCTAAATAAAAATGTAAAAAAAAAATTAACTGTAGGAAATATGTTTACCACACCACAATTGATCACTGTCCCTATTTTTTTTTTTTAATAAAGTATAGGCTGTAAACCTTATACAAATACCACATGTTAGGGGTATTTATTAGTGCAGTAGGTTATAGTCAACAGTGTAATTTATAGATATATATATAATAATGATATTTTCTAAGACTAGTCTAGTGTTTAATTATTGGCTTTGTAAAGCATACATTCCCTGCACTGCTCAGTCCTTGGCCCATATTATCATGCAAACACCTGTGAAGATCAAACAGCATAGTGCTGAGCTCTATGCCACTCATAGCAACAGCTAGGTGGGCCACACTCTCACAAGTCGAACTTAGCCCCAGACTGGGCTTGGGGAGAAGAGCACCTAGAAACCAGTTACAATTTTAAAATTTATCTCTTAATAATTAAGATGAAATGACCAGTTAGTGACATGGTGACCTACAAAATAACTCTGCCCGCTCCCCTCATAATAACATAACGAGAAATTCGCGCACCCGGACCTGAACTCATCCTCTTCGACTTCATTATCCTCAATAGAAATTTGGGGGTGATGGCGCCCTTCGTCCCTTATTTCACCGTCTTCTTCATGACTATCCATTCCAGAGTCAGCCGCTGGCCACGCAAGACCACACCAGACCAAGACAGTGGCTTCGCTTCACACAACTAGTGATATAGTTGTGTGTGTGTGCACTCTCAGTCAAGATTTCCTCCCCCTTCCGACGTTTGTGGTAGCCGCTGTGTGGTCACTCCGATGTAGCGCTTAAGTCCTCTCGTCTTTATATGTGCAATTACACCTGTTTTGAGTGTGATTTCTTCTTCTTCTTTACGATATGGTCCAGTTTACACAAAGGTTTCCTCTTGCTCAAAGCTGCACGCTGCGAAATTTGGAGAGATTGTTGCTTGTGTTGTTGTTGTGTAGGAAACGTTCCAAAGATACAGCTCACATAACAAACTATTTTTTAATTATATTTAACAAGAAAAATAAAATTTCTGTAATAATTTACATTTATGTTATGATTTTTGTCTATGATATATATATTTTATAATTTTACTTAGAAAGCTTCTTTTTGTGGATTATTTACATCTATTATGCTACATTTTAGAGTCCGTAAATAGCATGGGAAGGAGGAGATCTCGCGTCTGATCCCCCCCCCCCCCACAAAACGAATGGGTGCCGGTTTAAATTTCTTTTCCAATTTATATTCAAAAGAATGTGTTTACAGATAACATAAAAGTAATGCACAACTGTAGCGATAGGAGTTACACATATTAATAAATTCATTATACCACAAAGCGTTTCGGGCAAAACTTAAAATAATTTAGAAAAACAATTAATTAAAGGTGTTTTATTTAAATTAACATACTCCACAATAACATGTATGTGAATTAGCAAAAGTAACGCACACCACACCTTGCCATGCACATCATCCACAAATGTTAACATACATGTATCTTCACTCATATATATATGATACTATCACACATTTTCAGTAAATCTGAAAGTAAACAAAAGATTATTTACCTGAAGTCACAATCGACTTGAGAATGGTCCAGGACGGACCGAAACGTCATCGTCCCTTCACCTTCTAGTGTGTGGTCTGGTCGACATTATTTACCTGAATTTACCTGATTGCCACTATATCTTTCTAGTGGCCTCCGATAACAGGAAGCCAGCGGCTTGTCAAAAGTTCCCCAACATTTGTCAAGACGATTTTATCGAGTTGGATCTTGAAATTCAGCAATGTTTTGGAATTAACGGCTTTGCCAGGTAAGTAGTTCCATTAATTCATAAGCCTATTGGCGAAAAAGTATCTCCTGTTTTCCGTCCTACATTGTGGAGGGAACATACAGTCCACAATTCTGTTTACCATTCCATTGCTCTTTGTTTGCGTTACGTGTGAACTTTTAAAGAAGTGGCCTGGATCATTATCCTCTAAATTGATCAGTATCTTAAAGGTTTCGATGAGATCAGCCATGTCGTGTCTGGTTTACAGTGATGTTAAGAACATAAGAACAAAGGTAACTGCAGAAGGCCTATTGGCCTATACGAGGCAGCTCCTATTTATAACCACCCAATCCCACTCATATACCTGTCCAACCTCCACCACGTTACGCGGTAATTGGTTACACAAATCAACAAACTTGTTACCGAAACAGTATTTATCCAAGTCTTTCCTAAATCTAAACTTATCCAATTTATACCTATTGTTTCGTGTTCTGTCTTGTGTTGATACTTTTAATACCCTTTAAATATCTCCTTTGTTATGGTCATTCATCCACTTGTAAACCTCTATCATGTCACCTCTAACTCTTCGCCTTAGGCGAAGAGTTAATCCTCTGGCCCTCAACCGTTGTTAATCCTGTGGCCCTCAGCCGTTGTTAATTCTGTGGCCCTCAGCCGTTGTTAATCCTGTGGCCCTCAGCCGTTGTTAATCCTGTGGCCCTCAGCCGTTGTTAATCCTGTGGCCCTCAGCCGTTGTTAATCCTGTGGCCCTCAGCCGTTGTTAATCCTGTGGCCCTCAGTCGTTGTTAATCCTGTGGCCCTCAGCCGTTGTTAATCCTGTGGCCCTCAGCCGTTGTTAATCCTGTGGCCCTCAGCCGTTGTTAATCCTGTGGCCCTCAGTCGACTTAGTTCTGGATTTTTATTTTTGGTCACCTGGTATTGAACTTTCTCCAAAGCGGAAATGTCTTTCTGAAGACAACAATAAATTGTAATTAATAATTTATTGTAACAACAATAAATTAATTAATAATATGTGCGAGGACTGGGATTTTGAATTCCTTTTAAACAGTAGGCCTCTTGCTGTCACTCACAAAGCACAACTGTCGTTAGATTGTTGCTCTAACCCAGCTTGAACACTTTGGGGGACATCTTTTGTAGGCAAGCTGTACAAGAGATTAAGTATTTACATGAGTCTACGTGGAAATAGCGAATTAAAGAAAACGAAACTTTTTTTAGCACTAACTCTCCTTAATATGAAAATCTCGTGTGTGAGACTACACATGTGTATCCACCATCGCTGACACCTACATACACCTCGACGGTGCAACCAACCACAGGGAAATTGCAAAATCAGGCAACTGGAAAGTTAGTGCACCTTTTTCCCATAATATCTGAGACACTTGGCCCCTGGGGTAGGAGTGTCTTGAGCTGTCTCGAAGAATTGGGTTCTAGGCTCATTAAGACCACTAGAGGCCCAAGAGCTGTCAGTTTCCTGTCCCAGCGCCTCAGTGTGGCGATCCAGAAGAAAAATGCCTGCTGTGTCCTCGGTTACTGTCCCGAAGCAGAGTAGCTCCAAGAGAGCCACAACTTTTAACCTTCCATTGTATTCATATATAATAATAATAATAATAATAATTTTTATTTAGGTAAAGGTACATACATAAAGAGATTTAAAGAGATTGGGAGAGGTCTTCAATAACTAATTGTAAAATCATCTTCAACAGAAACATTACTGAACCTGCTTTAATACAAATCACAAAACCATACAATAGGAACATTAGTAGTGGTTTGGACAATTTGAATCCATTTTAAGTGATCAATTAAATAACGATTTGAGTAAGATAATTAGTACACAGCTTTCTTATTATTGCTTCTTTTATGAACTTATATGTGTTGGTCTCTGGATCTTCTGCAGTTTCCTCTTATTACACACACAGAAATCACAATAGTCTGATGCATCAAATGATTAAGACGCGTCTGGGATCCTCTCGGACGCAGGTTCGAACCCTCGTCACGGCCCTTGTGGATTTGTTGTTGTTGTTGTTTTAGATTCAGCTACTTAGAACAAAAGTTCCAAGTAGCACGGGCTATGGCGAGCCCGTAGTGGACTTACCTGGCACAGGAGCGGGGCTGTCTGTTGTGGATTTGTTCATTTCCTCTTATGTTTGTGAACCGAAGATATTGTATTTCACCTCACCTCACCTTCCACTGGCAGGACAGAGACACTTGGCCACCTGATACTTCTGTTCACCTTTCAGTAAGCAGGTATCTTTGAGTTAGATAAGTGTTGTGGGTTGCATCCCGGAACCTTGGTATGTCTACCTGCCCCGGCTATGGGGAAACCATTAATTGCCTGTGGGAAGACTTAATATCAGACAATATTAATGTGTAATAATAGTAATTATAATAGAGACGATACAGATGATGTTACGGGCTATTCATGCCCGTGTGTGTGTGAGAGAGAGAGAGAGAGAGAGAGAGAGAGAGGGGGGGGGGAGGGAGTCTAGCGAGGGACGTAAGGTGTGAGGGAGGGGGGAGGAAATAATTATGGACCTACATCGTAGCGTGAGACCATTCAATACCCAACAATACTACCAGTAACTCGTGTATGCATATACATCGTGGCACAGGTGCTCAGTCACGCTACTAACGACGTCTAATGTTGTGGTCGGAGAACAGTGACACGCTAATTTGCATACTACAGATCACGTCACCCTGGGCGCAGCGGCAGGAGTGAATAAAACATTGACTAACCCAGTGCGACAATATTGAAGTTTTAGTACACTAACCGATGTAAATACCAGTTTTGGCGCGCGCGGGAAGATCTCGTGTTCTGGCTCCACTTAATGCTTCATTTGCATGCCCAGTGATCAGGTAAAAAACTCCTCGTGTGGAATTATTTATGGCAGCTGCTCCCCTTTCCCTCCTTCATGCTGCTGCCTGAGGCCACTTGTTATATATATATATATATATATATATATATATATATATATATATATGTGTGTGTGTGTGTGTGTGTGTGTGTGTGTGTGTGTGTGTGTGTGTGTGTGTGTGTGTGTGTGTGTGTGTGTGTGTGTGTGTGTGTGTGTGTGTGTGTGTGTGTGTGTGTGTGTACTCACCTAATTGTAATCACCTAATTGTGCTTGCGGGGGTTGAGCTCTGGCTCTTTGGTCCCGCCTCTCAACCGTCAATCAACTGGTGTACAGATTCCTGAGCCTATTGGGCTCTATCATATCTACATTTGAAACTGTGAATGGAGTCAGCCTCCACCACATCACTTCCTAATGCATTCCATTTGCTAACTACTCTGACACTGAAAAAGTTCTTTCTAACGTCTCTGTGGCTCATTTGGGTACTCAGCTTCCACCTGTGTCCCCTTGTTCGCGTCCCACCAGTGTTGAAAAGTTCATCCTTGTTTACCCGGTCGATTCCCCTGAGGATTTTGTAGGTTGTGATCATGTCCCCCCTTACTCTTCTGTCTTCCAGTGTCGTGAGGTGCATTTCCCGCAGCCTTTCCTCATAACTCATGCCTCTTAGTTCTGGGACTAGTCTAGTAGCATACCTTTGGACTTTTTCCAGCTTCGTCTTGAGCTTGACAAGGTACGGGCTCCATGCTGGGGCCGCATACTCCAGGATTGGTCTTACATATGTGGTGTACAAGATTCTGAATGATTCCTTACACAGGCTCCTGAACGCCGTGTGTGTGTGTGTGTGTGTGTGTGTGTGAGTGTGTGTGTGTGTGTGTGTGTGTGAGTGTGTGTGTGTGTGTGTGTGTACTCACCTATATGTACTCACCTATATGTGCTTGCAGGATCGAGCATTGACTCTTGGATCCCGCCTTTCGAGCATCGGTTGTTTACAGCAATGACTCCTGTGTGTGTGTGTGTGTGTGTGTGTGTGTATTTATTTATATTATCAACAATACTCTAATGATCCCTCGGAGATTCGAACCTACGCCACAGGTTAAAGCCATAGCCGATGGTGACAAATGTCTCGCATTATTGTTGTAGTCATAGAAAATGGTGCTCATATGTCTCGCCCCCGCCCCTCCCTTACCCTGAACCCCACCACCAGCTCCCTCCCTCCCTCCCTATCCATGGTCTAGGATTAACGAAGCACTTAAGAGGCCACTTACGAAACCTGTACATCTTTCCTCAATCATGGCGGCTTTGTCTACCTTCATCAAACAGTCCACGACCACTGGAGCACTATA